AAATTATATATGATACACAATTGATAACAATGTTATATTTTCTAGCGCTGTACTGAAGGTGTATGGATGTCACTAGGTAATTCGATCAAATATGCTTAACCAACTTATATAATTTGGGTTAAAAATCTAACATATATTTTATTTAAGTTAAAGCAAACGATATTCTTTATGTTGCACTTGATTTCGAAGGCATGCTATAAATTCAATAATATAATAAAATCTTATTGCACATAAATGTAACTTAATACTTATAACTATTTATAGGATAGCAAGCATTGAAAGATCAGCACAAGAAGAAACATTTTTACAACTTTTAAATGCGGCGCTTTCGAACCTTGTACTTTTCAAAAGCCAATTTGCAGTTAGCCGAGATATTTCTTCCATGTTCCAACGTTTTCAAGATGGAACTAATTATTTTGGAGATGATTCTGACATTTTCCAGGTAAACTAAAGTGGTTATATTTGTACGAAATTGTAAGAATTGCTTTATAGAACTTACATATTATTTGTTTATTACAAAGGCACGTTTTTGCATTGTTATTAAAGACGTTGCGAAAAGCGATAGAAGTGACATTGTAACGGAATTTCAATCAAAGTTTTCGAGAATTGTTGATAAGGTAGAATCATAATACATCTACTCATATATTAATTTAATAATCTAAAATAATTTGCTTAAATTTCAAGGAAGAAGAAGACAATTTTATAACAAAACTTTACCGTAACAAAATGTCAATTCTTCCTTGGCCAGTATTTACTGAAGCTGCATTTTATACTTCGATTAAAACGTTTAAGGTTAAATTAGATTCCCAAGAATCCCAATATAAAAATGCTCAGATGTTTGTAGAAAAAATCAAGGTATGAAAAATTATACTGTTTTTACCTAAAAGTAGGAAACTGATTCAAATAATATATACATATTTTAAGGTTTTAATGACAAAGCTGAAGTAAGTATAAAAATATATAGTTATTAATAAATAAATCTTACTCATTAGCTATTTATTTGATGTATTATCAATAGAGTATGTGATTGGGGAAGCATTCGAGCTACGTTAATAACAATGAGAACATTAGAATTGAAAAAGTTTCTCGGGAATGCAATATCCTTTGGTTATGAGCAAGTAGACGATGATCCATTTTCTGACCAGGAAAACCATTCCTCAGGGTTTGATAACAATCAAATTAAATGCCTTATGGTAGGCTAATAATATTGTTATTAACATATTGTTATTAACATAATGTTTTATACAAACTTACTAATGATCGTTTTATTAATTCAGAGCCGCGATGATAAAGTTTTAATTTCAGATGATGATATTTTGCTTTCAGTAACTTTTGATCATGTGGATGCTTCCATTAAATTAATGCCTGATACTGGACTTGAACTGTTTAAGGATAAAGGAAGTTTTATTGACATTTCATCTGGTAAATAGTACCCAAATTTTTATTTTATTTTATTTTATTTTAAATTTAATAATAAATAATTTGCAACTAATAACACAGGCCTAAGAGAATATTTTGAAAAAAATGTTTATGCTCGTGGATCCATTCCTGATTCTGAGTGGATAGACTATTTAGACAAATTTTTCAAACTAATCATAAATCGTCGAATAAACAGAGTTCGGGAATGGTATACAAGAAATCTTTCAAGATTTTCTCAAGACCATAATGAAATCGTTATTGCAAATTATGCTCTTGATCAAGAAATTAGTCGTCTCAGCTTATTCTGGAATGCGTGCCGACTTCGTTGTGACAAATGTGGATATGCATGCCTTAAAGCTAGTCGTCATGATGATGACAGAGATGATATAAATCATGATTGCTTAACAGATCATTTGTGTCACCATTCTTGTGAGTTTGAAGCAGCGCATACTGATGAAGTCCTTCCACCATGTCAAAATTTTGCTGCACATCAGGGAAAACATAGATGCTCACTCTCACATGCTTGTGGTGCTCCTTGTATTCATATTGGAAAAAGAAATTGTCAAAACTTATGTGCAAAAGACGTTGGACATCAAGATGTTCAAGGAAATGAAACCCATTTATGCGAATCAACAAGGCATTATTGTGGTGTTTCATGTTCATTAAAAACAGAAACACAGAAGGGAAAATATGAATGTCGAAATACATGTATTGTAAATATAGTATTTATTTTAATAATAAATTTATTACAGATCATGTTAAATTTTTTTCTGTAAATGCATTGTTAGATTCCGTGTGAAGAAGAGCATAAGATCCACAAATGTCAAAATGAAGTATGTCCAATTGAGTGTCCTATAGAAAATTGTCGTCAACGTTGTGAAAGTTCAGACCATTTCCATGCACTAGAAGCAAATGCTGATCATTTTTGTGGGTAAGTATATGTGATAATATACTGCACTTTACTCTCAATTATTTTATTAATAAGTCTACTTATTAGAAATGAACACCAATGCCCTAAAGAATGTGAGGAAAAAGGAATATGTAAAATTGTAACTGAACCTTCTGCTATTATTAAAGAAGAAGCTGAATATGTGAACAAGTAAGCACTTTTCAAACCATTTAAATTTAGTAAATATGTTTAAATATTTGAAACTTTATAATCAATTTTCAATTTTTCCGTTTGCAGATTTGGGAGCTTTATGTTTACAAAGGTGATTTATTTTTTGATAATATAAATTTGGCTTTTTTAGCAATCCTTTTAACACTGTTTTTACATAGTATTCGCAAACTTTCCAAAGATTACCATGTTGTGTAAAAATTCCGCCATATACATTTGAACATAAGGGAAAACATGTTCATGAAATAAAAAAAGCTCATGTATGTGACTCAACATGTCCAGACGATGAAGGTAAACATTTAGTGAAGGGGAAGCAAAATTTTCACTATTGTGATGAAAAATGTCCAAATTGTGCATATTATGTAAGTTTAATTTGATTATTTTTTTCTTTTCTTGACCGACGATATAATATCAAACATTCAATTTTTTAGTGCACTTTGCCTTATGATCATGGAAAAAAACATAATACAGAACATTGTAATTATAAATGAATATTAATTTTTATAAAGCAAGATTTCATAATTGCATATAGCTATTAAATTCTAATTTTATTTAGCAACTGTTCACGGAAATATGCTTTTAACAACATTTACTTGCGAAGATGATGAGTTTGAATTCGAAGGTATGATAATCAAATTTATTTCAAATAATTCAAAATTAAATTCCATTATAACTAGTGATGTGAGTTGGTAGCTACCGTTAGCTGTCTACTACTGGTGGATACCGGTAGATACCGGTAGCTACCGTGAGGTTAATGATATATAATGGTAGGTTGATGATATAGCAGTTTATTAAATCTGATTGGTTGATTACGACTTGCACTATATATCATGACTTTAAAAAAAAAAAAATAGGTAGAAGAATTAGCAATCAAAATGAAAGCCCGCTATACCACCTACTGGTATATACCGGTAGTGATTTGGAAGAATTCACATCACTAGTTATGTACAGTGGTTAAACACATATAATTTAATATAAATATAATAAAAAACATTCAAATTTTTTTGTCTGTTGACCAATCAAGATCTAACTAGTAGATATACCGGTAGAATTATTACAATTTGGGAGATTTTACATCACTAATTATAACATATTTTTAACAGGTCACCAGTTAAATGTTGGAGACAGAGGTGATTTCGTCCTATGTCATAAAGTATGCTAAATTTATATAGTTCTTAATAATTGTGGCAGCTTATGATGAGATTTT